GAAGGGGGAGGGAAAAAAGAGGGGGGGGGGGGGGGGGGGGGGGGGGGGCACAAGAGCGAGAGCAGGGACGAGTCTTGGCCATGTGCTAGTTGACATCGCAGTGTGGAGTCATGGCCATTTTTCCATTCCCTAGACTCTTCGGAAGGTCAAACCGGCGTGGATTCCGTCGTCAAGGGCTTATAACGCACCGTTCGGATCAAAAGCCCCGGACACCACGGTATGGCGGGAGACATACCACCGCCGTTCTCCATCCAGAGCCTTACCGTCACTGGCAGTGTCGAACTCCTCTCGCGACGACGCTGACACCCCCATCTAGAATTGATCCACCCGGCTTGCACGCACGTACAACAGACGAGCGCTGCCAAACTCTACGACTAGTGTACGTAGCCCTCGTACGTGCATATACAGGTGGGAACGCACCTGGTTCTTGACCAAGCCTTAGGCAAGCCGCCGCCCGAGGAAGGCACAGCGAGGCCGTCAGGGTCCAGAGGGCTCTTCGGAGCATGGTGTCCTGCGTGATAAGGAGGGGCGCACAGAAGACACAAGCGCGATGCATCGGTGGGACAACTTTCAAACCTGACGAAATCGCAATTGCAGACGACGAGGTAAAAAGGACCCATGTGCCCTGCTTAGGGGATGAGGTAGAAGGGGGCCTTCGAGTGAATTCAAAATTTTTGCACATGCCTCGATCTCTATTGCTGCCGGCCTAGCACGGTGTTGAACAGGTGTGCTGCTGCACGTCGACCGTCATCAACGTGTAAGGCCCGCATTGGACACTCTTATGTACGACAAAAGCAATTACGTAAGGCATTGTGAGGACAAACATACTTTTTTTGTGTCGCACGACACGTCCGTCTCAACAAACGAAAAAAATCACCAGGCCCAGCAACGGTCCCCGGACGCAACTTCTCGGTTTCTATTCCCCCGCTATTAGACCGCCGTCATTTCACTGGTCAGCCAGGGAACGCCGTCGATGCTAAGCGAGAAACACACACACATACACGCGCACCCCTGAACCCTCCGCTAGCCGGTAAAACGCTTTGATTAGAAAGCGTATTGGCGTTTCCCATACTGCCATGAGACTGACGTGTTGCCATTGGTCCAGCTGGTTAGCGCCGTCGACGAAAATTGCAAAAAAAAAAAACAGTCACACAAACATCGCAAGGCTGCGGTGTTGCCATTGGTCCACCCGGTTATAGCGCTGTCGATGCAAATTGAAATTTCTGACCCCAAAGATGTCCGCCTCTTTGGGGGAAAAGGGCACAGGGCTTCAGACGAGGCCAGCGCTACCCCCCCCCCCAAGGCCGCGCCGCCGCCCCCCCCAGGGCTTTCATAAAAAATCACTCACACAAACACCGTGAGGCTGCGGGCGTTGTCATTGGCCAGCCGGTTATAGACACAAAAAAAAAACGAGTACACGTACAATACCTCTTTGTGCACGTCTACCACCTCGATCAGCACCCCCTCGCACACCAGCCTGCCCAGCCTCTCCACGAGGGAGGCCTCAAACCCAAGCCTTCGCCCTGCGGAGGCAAGCACGAGCCCTGCCGAAGGCGGCGGCGGCGGCGGGGGTGTCCCTTCCCTCATCGCCGTTGCTTCTGCCGTGTCCCCGCCCTGGATGTACGCCTGGAACTCCTTCACAGCGTCTTCACACCGGTCCCTCCAACCCACCACCTGGTCCACCATGTAGCTGTGATAGCATAGAGAGCGTGGCCAAAACAAGAGAGACAGAGAACGAGCAAAAGGTTGCAGTCCCTAAGCGGGTCAAAAAGAAGCGAGCACAAGCCATCAAACAACACGAGGGTGGTGGCTGCTGTACCCGGGCAGCGCTCGATAGCGTAGCCGCCCCCCCCCCCCGTGCCAACCACGCGAAAAACGAGGGGCTCACGCCCACGAGAGCGGCATTGCGGGTGGGCGAACCAATCTTTCACAACGTACCGCTGTGCAAGCGAAAAACATCCTCCGAGACCCATAAGACAAAAAAAAAAATAGATGTCAAGAACTCCCGCGGCAAGGCAAAGAGGAAAAAAAACTACTGCACTACCTCACGTTGATGCTGCCAGCACCGCACGCGAAGCAAGCAAGCACACCGCGACTGCTGCTGCGACCGCTGCTGCTGCTGCTGCTGCTGCTGCTGCTGCTGCGACTGTGTACTAAATCATCACGCACTTGAGGTAAGCTTGGCCATCCACGCCATCGACGGGCAGGCTGTCGGCGTGCCTCATGAGGGCCTCCAGCTCCGACAGCCCCGGGCGGTGCATCCGCCTCCCGATGTAGAAACCTGCCACAAAGGAGTATGAGGATAAGGGCCGAGTGAAGCAACAGCAGCTCAGTCCGCCGGGGGCACAAACAATATTTTGGGAGGCATTGACGCCGTCTTGCTTTTGAAGGCTGCATTCGTTTGCGCATTCTTGTCGATTCGATTTGTTGAGGATTCTGCCTATCGGGCCTTCGAAAAAAAAAAGCGTCAACTGTTAATTTCGATCCGTTCAACGATCTCTGGGATAACAAGGAGTACCACCCACTTCAGTCATTCAAGCAAGAAAAGAAAGAAACGGCGCTCTCCGTCGCATCGCTGCAGCCAAAAAAATCTGATCCTAGCCATCTAGTTGGCGGATCCATCTCTTGCCCGAGCTTGCCCGACCGCTCGCCCTATCCCATCATACGACACGCATCAATCACCCAAAACGCAGACCGGCGACGCCTCCTACGGTACGGAGAGACGGTACGTACCAGGAGAGGGAGGACAGGCGAAGTTGGACACGCCGCCCCTGCGGTGCTCGCACATGGGACACACGAACGCGAGAGCCGGTGCCTCGTGATGACGGCCATCCAGGAGGCTCCTCTTGGGTAGCTCCTGCGTTCGCCGTTTCGAGGGATGCGGCGAGTTTTGGTGTTATTTGGGATGCTGCTTCTGATCGTTCGAGACATACATGGTGGGGTGCTTTTTTTCGTCCTTTTGGGGGGTAACCTGCTGGTGATCTTTTCGAGATGCGGGTCTCGCGTTGTTGCACGGGACGCTTGAAATCGTTCGAGATGTGGCGTGCTTTCGTCAGGGTGCTTGTGATCGTTCAAGATATTTGGCGTGCTTTTCGTCATTGGGGATTCTACTTGCGATTGCCGCGATACGTGGCGTGCGTTGTTGCATTTTGGGAAGCTGCTTGTGATAGTTCCGACATGCGACTCTCGTTTTTTTTCCGTTTGGGATGCTTGGGTTAACTAAAAATGGACTGGGTGATTTTCGCCACCGATTCTTCCGGGCATCACGGCGACCGACCCGACGTAGCCCGTTACGTTCCGTTTCCCTTATCCAAATGTCTCCCATCTCGTCTCACAACAAAAAAAGGCGGATCAACTCCCCTCCACCACTCGACACCATGGCTACCGCAATTCAAGTAGTGGTCCCGATATAATGCCGGTCACACGATTTCACTGGCACTGTACCGGAAACCCGGCATCATTTATCCGGCAGCTTACCATTACCATGCCATATGAAACATATTTTAGTCGGGCCCATCATGTGCAGCAGTAGCGGTCCTTGCACCAAGGGTATGTGATGCCAAGAGAATTGCCCGGCTGTAGGCCGATCTCCCGGCTTCTAGTATGCGGAGCAATCGGACAACTCGAAAATTCCAACTGGTTTCACGCGATTTCACCGGCGGCGGCACACAGACAGGGGGCAGCGACCGGCCTTCATCCCGCGGTCTCCCACACAAGGAACCACTACGTATTACGTACTGCTGTACCGAGCCGCACGGATGATGGTGTCGGGCTTCGCCTTACCTTACCGGAAAATCCACCTCGCGAGGACGGCATGCTCATCAACAACCTGCGCACTACCGTAGCGAGCAAAAAAAAAAAAAACTGCCCTGTCTTCGACGCACACACAAGAGAGGACCGACTGCAAAACTCGAGAAGCAGCAGCAATCGCTTTTTTTGTGCACCTTGAGCCTGACGCAGGAAGGGTGGAACCAGCTGGAGCACAGGTCGCACGTCATGAGCGTGCGGAAGCGAGCGGCGTCCGCCGGCAGCCTGCAGAGGCAGTGAAGGGCCTCCTCGTCCTCCTTCGTCCAACCCGCCTCCTCCGCCTCCTCCGCCTCATCCCCGATCCCCTCCCCTTCTCCTTCCTCCTTCTGCCCCGTGGCCGGGTCGGCCGTTGACGGTGCACCGCTACTACCCAGGCTGCGGGGGCACCGTCGAATGCATTTTTGCAAGTACATGCACATGGGGGGGGTGGGGTATGATACGACGGGGGCTCAGTAAACCGCAACGGCGGTGGGAGGGGTGTTCACTCGCCGAAGAACTTAACGATGCAAGGAAGGGTGAGAATGCGAAGATATGGGATGAACATGAACGGCGATACTTGAAAAGCTTCTTCGTAGTCCGGATTTCTTGCACCGACCGACTCGAGTGGCACCATTTCTCATTTCCGTCACGTTGACCGCACCAAAACCACATCTGGCAACTCTGCGTACGCGTGGCACTCCCCTGGCCCTGGGGGTCCAGCCTGGAAGCAACACCACAATTTCATTCGAGAAAAAAAACGACGAAAAAAAAGAGAGAAATAAAGACCAACAGAGGGAATATAATATTCCTACCGCAACACCCGCTGCTGGATGGTAGGGCTGCTAGGCTTATTTTATCTACAACGACTACGGCATGCGTTTACATGAGTACCTCCCCCCCACCCCTTGTTGGCCGAGTGCAAAGACCGGGTTCATGTAGTTGCGGAATGCCAGTTGTACAAGAAGGAGAGGGAAGCATACATGTCTGAGCTGGGAAAAGTAGAAGGAAGATACGGGGACATGTTTGAGGCATGAAATAGCCAGGGGAAGACGGTAGCTGTGCGGGACATAGGGAGTGGGTTGGCGAGGCGGCAAACGATATCGATGCGATACGTAGGCTAGGGAAAACATTGTTGAGCCACCTTTGGCCAAGTAGGAAGGAACGAGTAGCCATCGGTGACCGGTCCTGTGGGAACAATGCTCCGTCCTCTCGAGGACGCGTGGTCAATGGTGTGTAACCGCTAAGGCATGCAAAACATACGAGTACGCCCACCCCTTGTTGGCCCACCTGACGATCCTTGGTGACCGCCTTGCCTCCCGTGCTCTAACCGCCTCCTCCCTAGAGCCCCCCTCGGCAGAGCCGCCACCCACGTCATCGCCGGCCGCACCTCCTCCGCGCTCTGCACCGCAAACCGACCGACCGACACCCAGCGGCAAGCAAGGGCAGCCGCGTAGAGTAAGCAATGCGACACGCAGAAGGGGATTCGTACGTTAAATTAGGGTTTCCGGCGTGGTGGTCGAAAAACGAATCCTAGCACTCGTTCGTAAATACGGCACATCTCTCCTGGACTTCTTGCTGCACGATAAGTCGTGTCATTTTCCTCGCAGCCACCCTCAATTGTGCAGCACCAAACCGAGCAGAAGACCGACGGCATTTTCCTTTGTTGTGTGTCTGCGTCCGTGCCTGTCCAATCTGTCGCTCTCTCTGTCCCTGCCTCTGCCCCGGTCTCTGTACCCCCCGCCCCCCCATCTCTTCCTCTCCGTCTCTCCTCTTCCCGAGTGCACGCCGCGCCACTCACCAGCTGTACTTGTGCTCACCCCCCTCACCCCCCTCGGAGCGTTCCGCCGCTTCGACAAGGCCTTGAGCCTCGCCAGCTTCTCTAGCCTGGCCTGCCTCTCCCTCTCCCTGGCGTCCTCCTTCTCTCTCTGGAGACGCTCCTTCTCCGCCTCCTCCTCGCGCTGCTCCCTAGCCAGAGAAAATTCCTGGAAAAAGATAAACGAAAGGACAAGGGAGAGGGGTGCGGGGACAGGTGCGAAGCGAACGTCTTTGTCGTGAACAAGGTGCCGTGGAAAGAGGCGGCGACACTCCCCTACAATAGTGCGACGAATGATGGCTGAACGGCGCTATTCGGGCAACCCAGCGGTAACCTCACTGCTGCCTCCACGACCACTAAACAAGAACGACATGAGAGACGGGCAGCACAACGACCATAGGCAGCCAGCTCCCCGGCAGCAGCATCCAGCGGTTTTCATCAGGACACCCTTTTAAGCCTCCACGATTACGAAACAGCTAAGAAATGATGCACGTGAGAGGCAGCACAGCAAGCACAAGCAGCAGCGGGAGAAAGCAGCAGCAGCAGCAGCATTAGCAGCAGCAGTATCCATACCTCCCGCGGCAGCACTCACCGCCACGTCCTGCAGCTTCTCCTCTAGGGCAGTCATCGCTGAACCTTCCAGACCCAGTCTAGCCCACTTGCCTCTCTCCTTCTCCCCGTCCCTGCCCCTGTCGCAGTCCTTGACCTTGCCACCAGCAGCGGCGGCACCGCCGGTCGCCGAGTCATCCGTTGAAGGGTCCGACACCTACAGAATGCGACGGCCATGACAGCCGCAGTCCATCAGAACCAAGCAGAAGCGGAGGAGAAAGATTCCACGTAGGAGGAGAGTCGAAACAAAGGTGACACGAACAGCTGTTATAGTTGCATGGCACAGCAGTAGTACTCAAAAGGCCGAGGGTTTGGGCAACCGTGCCCAGCGTCGAGCTCGTTATTCAGCTGGGGCAGGCGTAGCAATTTAGACCAGGAGGAGTGAGACGGAAAGAACGCGACAAACAGGCAACAATAACGCGGGAAACATTTTCAAGTTGGACCTCCTCAACGTGGCTGGTGCTGGTGCTGGTGCTGGTGCTGCTTCTGCCACAGAAAAAATAAAGAAAGGATTAAAGAAACCATGCTATGTTATCTGGTTTGAACCGGGCAAGACACAACCGCCGTGGCGTTGAATCGCTGCAGGCACCACCCTCGGCACTATCACACCCGACGCAGCAGCACTCTCTTGTCGCACATGGTGGCTGCATCGCTGAGTTAGCAGCACCTATTCATAGGACTTGCCTTGATCTTGAGCATGTCGCAAGCCTCCTTCGCCCAAGCCTCTGCCGGGGCCACCAGCTTCTCCAGCTCCGAAGCGCCTGGAATGAACACGTGGGCAAGCCCCCTGCAGCTACGAATCGCTTGGCACACCTGGTTCGAAAAAACAAGAATAAATGATCTCGTTTGTTCTGCTCATTGAAAGAAAATAAACAAAAAAACTTAAAAAAAAAATATATATATAAAAATGAGAGAGAAGACGGATACATGCGGGGGTGGGGCGGGGCTGTACAGCGGGAGAGAGCTTGGTCCCCTCTCGCCGGTGCGACATTGCCCGCAGGCGGCCACGTCCGTGCGGAGTTTCATTCACCCACAAAAGCCTTTTCACTGCTGTGAAAGCCGCTCTATTTAGCCGTTACACCGACCCGCCGTGTCTCCACAAGGCCCGTGTGATGACCAGACCAAGCGCGAGCTTCCTACTCATGAGGAAGCACAATCCCTAGCGCCACGAAGACGATATAATCAAGGACAATTTTTGTGAAAGGACAGCCTGGTCACGAAAAAACAGGAGCCGGCGAGGCTGCAAGATACCCCCCGCCGCGTCTCGGGAACTAGGAGAGAAAAAGCTGGATGCAGCACGTGTGACCTGGGAAGTGGGTGGACCGTACGTACTGTACGCGATCGTCCCCACCTGACTCATCTTCGGCTTCGGGGGCAGCGCCGGCGATCCGTCCGCCAAGGAAGACTTCGTCGCCGTTGCCGCCGGCGTAACCAGCTGTTTTCTTTCGGCGACACCGGCCGCGGACAACGCCGCCGAAGGCTTTCTCTTCCCACCGCTCCTCGTGGCAACGGTTACCCGTGGAGGCAGCCCCGCCGCCGGCTTCACCGCGCCTTGCTCTAGGTTGCCGTTGCTGTCGCCGTCCGCCCGCGAAACGGCGGCGGTTGCGACTACTGTGGCGGTGAGCTCTTCGCCGCAGTCAGGGCTATAGCCACCGCCTCCGCTGCCGCTAGAAGCTCCGGTGGTCACCGCGGAAGAGTCGTCGGTCCCCCCGCCGGGTGTACCGGCGTCGGCCGCCGGTTCTGCTTCATCGTCCCGCGACCCGCATCGCCCTCCTAGCGGCACCCGCTGCTGGCCACCGTCGCCGCCGTTGGGCTCATCGCTGCTCCTGCTGCTGCTGCTGCTGCTGCTGCCGTCAGCGGTACTGCCGTCACCGCGAACCTCCATCGTGGCACCGTCGTTGCTCTTGGCACCAGCAGGAGCGGCGGCGGCGCCGGTGGTGCCGCTACCACCACCACTGACATCCGTCATCATGGCGTCATGGTCACCCTCGCCTCCGTGCCGCCGCCGCCGCCGCCGCCTACCCCGCCCTCCTCCTACCGCCCCTCGCCCCCCCCACTGACACATATCCTTCTCGGTCAAACAGCCTACCATACCTGCTGTTGAGGAGGAGGACGCCGCCGCCGGCACGCTTGGACAAGCGCCGCCGGAGGCGGGGTGGCTCGTCACCAGCTGGGGGGGTTGAGGTTGCGGCGGCGGCGGCGGCGGCGGCGGCGGCAGCGGCTGCCGTTCTTCCGGCACCCTGATGCCCTGCAGGCCGTGCTTGGACGCGGCGTCTAGCAGGGCCCACACCGTCTGCGCCACGTGACTCGCCCTGAGGAAGGCCGCGGGGGGAAATACGGGACACGAGCGTTACAAAATTCACCTGTGGAGCTTTCTCCACAGCATTGAAACGGATGGTAGGGGGTGATGCCGGTTAGTTTGTCGTGGGTGCAAGTGTCGTGCTTTCGTCCACCGACGGCCGTTCTCGCTTCACTGCGGTGCGCAATTCAGGTCGAACCAACTTCCCAAGCCAAAGTGGTGGAAGAGTGATTTTACCTGCCGCTGGGGCCATCATGTGAGGATCTACCTCTACATCCTGCCAAAATTCCTCTACCTTTCAGAACCAAACGCGAAAACGACAAAAATGGGCACTCGCTCGCTACTTAAGCACCTACGTGCCGCTCTCCGCTACCTCCGGCGGGACTTCCAGGTTTGCTGATAGCAGATCCCCTTTGACAAAACACAAAGCACCCTAACCGTGCTACTACTCGTTTTTTTTCCTGCCCAAGGTGTACGGCACGAGTGCTCCACCCGTTGCCAAACCGCGCAACCCCCCCCGCAATCGCTGAGAGAAATCGACCGGGGCAGCAGCACAGGTGTCAACAAAAAGTGTTCTTGAGAGCTGGCACCAAAATCTCCCCATAGCCAGCAGCACCGCCTCTACTCTTCCCAAGCACCACCACGAGCTCGTCATTGGTCATCACGCCATGACGTCATCACGCCATGACGCCATCCATCACCTTGCCACCGTCTTCTTGGCCTTGACAGCCTCGGGTATCTGCAGCCCCGTCGGTACCGTCTGCACTACCTTCTCGAGCTGTATGAGATCGACCACGCGAGGGGCGCCCGGGTTGCTTTCCTCTCCTTCCCCCACCTGCAGCGTCAGCAGCGTCAGAAAGTATACGTACAACCACAGAAAGACCACCCGTTCGAGATATAACTATAACCACAGCAGTAGTCGAAGGAGATGTGTTGTTATAGGCCAATTCCAAGAAGCATATTCTCGATGTGAATGCCTTGTTGGGTGTTTTTTTCAGGTGTGGCACGAAGTTTTCAGCACTCACGTTTCTCCATCATCGGCAAAGAGCGCGCACCGGGAACAACAAAAAAACAACAGCAAGGGGTTCCTCGTACGGTGCAGCTCAAGCGCGGCGCAGCAGAACGTCTGGTATGCCTAGCTAAACTTGTTTTGAGGCACACTACCCCAAGGCGCCACAACGTCCCGTACAGAGGAAAGCACGGCCGTGGTAGTGTCGTCTCGAAACAAACAGAGACAGCAGTGCAGCGGGGAACACGCTTCACACCCACTCTTTTGGAAAAGAAACGAACGGCAAAAAGAACCCAAGAAAAAAAAAAAAAACACACACACACACACAACACACACGAATAGCTTAGCCTCCCCCATGCCGGCCCCTCACGGAGTCCCAGTTAATGGCATTTAGAAGTTTTTTGCGTTTTCAACCGCACCAAGACTGACGTCTTTCCATTGGTCAGCCGGTTATCGCGGTCGATGCCAATGAAAAAACACACACACGCACGAAACCGCCGGGCTTCAAAACGCCGGGCTGCAAAACCGGTTGTACGCCGCCACGCCCACAACAGCCCCGTCCCCGCATCTCTCTCTCTCTCTCACCTTGCCACCGCCGACGTGGTCGTCGTCGTCGTCGTGGGCATCTCTTGGCTTCCTTTCGCCGCGACCGGCGCGCGTGGAGGTTCTGCGTCGTGGGAGTTCGCCGGCGGCGGGCGGAGGATGTACGGCGGTCTCCTCGAAGCCGACGGAACCTGTCCCGTTCTTCCGGGAGGAGGAGGCAGCGGCGGCGGCGGCGATGGCGATGGCGATGGTGGTTCCTTCCATGACGCGGGAGAGCTCCTCGAGCCACTCGTCTCCCTCCCTGAGCATGACCGACAGGCACTCCATCTCGCGGCCTTGGTAACGCGCTGGCCCCGACCCTGCTGCGCTGCCTCTATTTGCACCGCCGCCGCCCCCTGCCTCACCTTCGCCCCCGCCTTCGTCTGCAACAAAAGGACACCACGTACGAAAAGGTACTCGGGCAGGTCGGCGCCACCGCGGAGGAAACGTGCCGGCCAACGCGTTCTTATGGGGGTACGTACTACAGCGCGCGACAGGGGGGAAGGGGTTCTTCAACCTCCCTTGCGCGCGCGAGGGCGCGCAACAATCATCTGGTCTGGTCGCGCCAAAAGCCAGACGCAAGAAGAACACGTTGCAACAATCAACAGCGACCCAGACGGCACCGGCGACAGTCACCAGCAGCAGCAGCAGCAGCTGCTGCAGCAGAAGTAACAGCAGCAGCAGCAGCAGCTGCTGCAGCAGAAGTAACAGCAGCAGCAGCAGCAGCAGCAGCAGCAGCAGCAGCAGCAGCAGCAGCAGCAGCAGCAGCAGCAGCAGCAGCAGCGGCGGCTGCAGCAGCAGCAGCACAACATCGCGCAGGGCGAGACCTCACCTGATAGCTCGTACCCCAACTCCCGCCCTTCGTGGAAGAGCTCCCTGACGACCTCAAGCTGCGGCTTCGCCTGGTTCATGACCTTCGAGGCGCGCCTCTGCCACTCCTCTGCCTTGACAGCCACCAGCTTCACGGCAAAACAACAAAACAACACAAAACGCACATGCGCAGGTTGAGATGGCGCATTGCCAACATGCAAGTTTCTTGTAGATAGAACTTTCTGCTGGTACGAAGAGGTCTCATCGAAAGAAGGCTGGCGCATCGGTCCGAAATATACTTGTGCATGAATAATCCTGTTGGGTAGAGGTTTTGTCACACCGAAGCGGGCGAATCGCAAAAATATGCCCGCGAATACCCATCACTCCGTCGGCATTTTTAAATTTCTGTTGGAAAGAGAACTCGTCGAGCATATCATGCTTCTTCTTGCCGGGGAACCGGAAGTATTGAGGACGCACGGACGGTTTGTTTTCCCTCGCGGGAGAGGCTTGGGGTTTCGTCGTTTTCCTTGTCCTTACCTCGCCTCCAATGAACCCGGAGCACTGGGGCTCTCCGCACAGGCACTTCTGTCTCTCCACGAAGCCCCCCAGGGTGTCCGCTTGGTAGTTGTACGTCAGCTCCTGCAGCAGCAACAGCAGCAGCAACAGCAGCAGCAACAGCAACAGCAACAGCAGCAGCAGCAGCAGCAGCAGCACGAACAACAGCATGAGACGGGGCGGACCAACGCGCAAAGTTAGACGGCAAGCAACGGTCGCCAACCGAGCACGAGCAAAATTGTCTCGCCGACCGCGTGCGCGCCCAACGAAAAACACCACCAACGTGGAAGCATGGCACCCCCCTCGCGAGTGGAAATGTCTCCTTCTGTGTGCAATTCACCCTCCAAAAGGGCACGGCATGATACCAAGCCGGCCTTCTACAAGCGGTTCCCACATCCCACCCAAGAGCCAGTGATGACTACGTGAACGAAAGGTATCGATTCGTTCAGGGGTTTTAATCCAAAAAAGAATACACCAAAGTCGCGGAGAAAACAAAAAGGGGGGATCGAAAAAAAAAAAAAGAGTTTGTACAAGTCTCATGTTCCCACCTCGCCGACCGAGATGTCACGAGCGGCAACAAGCACCACCCGGGTCTCGCCCAGCACGCTCCACTTCTGCATCAGGCAGTTCGGGGAGCAGCTGTGGTTCGCGAAACGAGCCTCGCCGCCCATGGGGCCTGCACAATATAACGCAGCGAGTGTAACCAGCCACCCACATGGGTCGGTCAGCGTGCGTCATCATGGGCGGGCGGTGGCACAGCAGTTTACGGGACGCAATGCGGCGCGCAAACGGTCAAGGGGAGAAGCCGGGCAACCAACGTTGGCAGGCAAACTCTCGTGCGCGTACCTCTCACAACGCAGTGGAGGACCAGTCCCAAAATAATTTCCTGATACACGCACAGTTCTTGAGGACGTTTTTGTATCCAACTCGCCGAAAAAAAAAAAATGAATCCGAACGACAGCATGTGTGTACGCAAATCCGGAGTGCATGCACGCAAAGAAAGGAGATGTGAGTGGCGTGTACGTGAGCAGACATTCATTGGGAAAAGCTCGGCTATTCTTTTCCATCTTGGTTCCGTCTCACAAAGTAACGCGCTTCCCGCTCCATTCTTTTTTTTCTCTGTGTCGACACGAGTAAATAATAGCGGCTGCCGCTCCCCTCACCGCCGTCGAGCACGAGGTTTCCATCCAGGGAGGCGAAGTAGAAGTCGCCGCTCGAACCCTCGACGCCCTTGCGTCCCACCTTGCGGAGGCGTCTGCGGCACTCGTCCATCATGATCACCTTGTTGTATTTTGTTTTGCGATTGGTTGGAAACAGAATAGGGCGGAGAACAAATCGGATAAGCTCTCAGGGACGGCTTCAAGGTAAGGTCCCAATCGGTGTGCCCAAAGTCCATGCTGCCTGTTGGCAAGGTACCGTCCTTGCGTACTACAGACGCAAAACAGACGTGTAAGATGTGCCTTCAGGTGCTTGCTGAATTTTGCAACAAAAACTTCATGTGTGCGCCATGCCGTTCATATCACTGCAGAGGTGTCCCTCTCTCATGCATGCATGCCCCCACCCGGGAAGCCCGTGCCAATGCTAAGGCATAGCGCTCTCCCCCTGTATAACGTAGACTCCGCTCCAACAGTTCGTGTATGCTGTCCCGCTCTTGCCCAACGCAGGTAACATTCCCAACAGCAGTACAGCGTATGCATGCTGTACCATCACATACGGGGGCATGCATCGTGAGTTCCACTCATGCTACGCTACACGCCACCATGCTGCAAGCACGCAATGCGCTGGTACGTTTCAAGCCGCGACGAATACCGCATCACGAGATGCGGCGAGCCACCACTGGTAGACCTCGCAACCTAATCGTACCGAATAAACATCCCGTACGGTATAAATATCCACATGGAACATCATGACGGGATAGACATCGCGACCCCTCGTACTGCAACAACATCCACATGGTACGTGGTCGCGGAACAGACCTTGCGACCCCTCATACCGTGTTAACATCGCGGGAAACGTTAGTGTCACTTATTAGTCGTTCACCTCTCCCAGGTACTCGTGCAGCAGGGTGCCGGCCTCAGCTCCCCTCTCTTCGGCCAGCCTAAGCCCCCAGCCTCTGCCCTCGAAGGTTCGGAAAACCTGCCGCCGTCGACGGACGCGGCAGAGGGAGGGGAGGGGGGGGGCACAACACGACAGCACAAAAATCGAGCAGGATGGGATGGAAGGATGAAACGGCCTATACGTAGCTTGGCCGGCAGAAACTTCCGGCGCAGCTGTCCTCGCGTGAAAAAGGGGGGGGGGAGATAGATACAAAGTCGGCGGCGGAAAATCGATTCTCCGCCCTGAGGGCTACCGCGCTCTAAAAGGCGTGCAAACACACGGGCCGTCGAGATTATGATGACGGCTCGCTTCCTGCCGGCGGCAAGGGCGTGCGAAACCGCCAACCCCGGTCGGCCAGCCACCCAGCCAGTCATCCAGCGATGCCATGTACCGAACATACACAAACACGAAAAAACAAATAGCAACTCGAGCGCTGCCATGTACCGAAAACATACACAAACACGAAAAAACAAATAGCAACTCGAGCGCCGAGAAAATAATGTCGTACGTACCTCCGTCGCCGGGAACGTCTTGGTCTGTATGGCGTTGTTATTGCAGTACTTGCTTGCCCCCCGCAGGGTAGGGCAACGGCCGGGGGCGCACTCCATGAGGAGCAGACGGCTGCGCCGGGACGAGAAAAAAACACCAAAGCAAAAAAATGCGGTGGGTGAAGGGGTAACGCGACATTGGCAGCGGGAATCACAAGCATGAAAGCAGCGGCAGCATCATCCTGCCATCGCAAGAGACAAACACCTTCACGTACCTTGGCCCCCGAACCGCCCCCCCCCCCCCCGACCCGCATTTCATGTTACCGTACAGTAGGTCACATGACGTAATGACGTAATATACCACACACCCCTGGATCGATTTTCGAAGCTGGATTGCTCTTCGCCGGGTGTGCACAAATAAAACGATGCGTTTTCGGAAAGCTCTCGACGAAACGGCTCCAACGCCGTCGTTTTCGCCACCGCCACTTCTGTTTCTGCTGTGGAGCAATCGAGCTTTGAAACTCGGTCCAGGGGGTGGGGCATCTTCTGTCGCCTATAGGTGGTATTGGTCCCACCGCCCAGCGCGGGAATCGCCACTGAGAAGCACAAACGCTCACCCCGTGGGAAAGCACCCCAAGTCGTCTCATACTCTGAACAGTAGTGCCGGGTGCCCGGTACAAGCCTGGCCGACTCCCTTGGGCACGGCGCGGCAAAATACAAGGGACCACTGCTGCTGTGACCAACAAACAGCGACCGACAAAAAATCTCGGGCGCTTCTGGCACAACCGCACCGAGTACGGGGGGGCGAAAGACTTCTCCAACCCGTCCGCGGGCGGCGTGATGGCCTAACTAGTCGAAGGCGAAAGACTTGCCCGATTCTTCCACAGGCGGCGTGATGGTCCAAAACGGATACTCGAAGGCCGCGGGGGGGGGGGACTGAAGCGACTAGCCCCAGGGCCCCCAAGGGCCAGTCAAAACTTAGCAGCAAGAGCCTGGGTCTCGACGCACACGCTACAGGAGAGGTGGGCTAAGTAGAGGGAGCGGTCAGGAGGGAGACAAGAGGTTCGGAACGTAATGCCACATCCCCGGGGTCGCCTCCACCGCCAAAGGCGTTGGTTGAACAGAACAGAACGAAAACCACACTCGGGGCAGGCAGCTACGCGCCGCAACGGCATCTGCACTGCGGGCGGAGCGGACCGCAAGACCGATCGGATCGATCCACCATCGACACCCGTGAGCAGCCGGACATTCCACCAAACCCGAGCCATGTGGACTCAGGCTGCACGAAAAACGTCACGACTTTCATAAACCGCGCGGAGACAAACTCCCCCGACATGGCTACAGGTTATCCTTCGACTTGTCTCGGTGGAACATTTTTCGTGTGCGTTCGGCCGGCGCGTGCGAGAGTATTGTATCTTTGTTGTCGCCCTCACTTTATGCAGCTAGCGTCGCAGCCGTCTTCCGGTCGGCAGTTGCACAGCGGGATCTCGTCGACGGGAACCAGGCCCTTTAGGGAGCTGTCTTCGTACAGGTTGGCCTGCACGGTGCCACCGCACGACAGACAAAAAACAGCACACAGACACAAGACAGCAGTTGCCCAAGCAAGAAAGGGTTAGCCGCCGCGCTTCTGTCTGTCGGTCTGTCTGCATGTCTGCTTTTCTCCGTCTCTCTCACCTCTCTCCTGAAAATCTCTCTACCTAAATACAACCTTGCTTGCGGTAACCCTTTTCATACGCCTATTCGCCCCCCCCCTTCCTCTTCCGCCGAGGCGTGCTGATTCGGGGCTGACCTTGAGCTTTCTGTACGGCGGCGGGTTCTCGTAGCGCTTGAGCAGGCTAGCCTTCCACTCCGGCGCAATGTCGAAGGCCTCGCTCTCACCCGAAGAAGGCCAGATGCCCAGAGGGAGCAGCGACTGGAGAACCGCGATTCGTTCGACGGATAAAAAGTTCATGTGTAAGCACAATAATGCGAGGATTTGCTGACGTCTTTTCTTCTTTCTGACTTCTAACAAGTGTGTATGTACCCTGTGGGGTTTCTAGGAGTGTGCATGTACCCTGTGGGGTTGGTTGTTGGCCCGTGACCACGGAAGGCGCCCGAGCCAGTTGGACCAGTACGAACACTAAATAGAAGGTTCTGAGGAGAGACCGGAACGGTTCTCAATGGGCAGACAACACCAACAGCACAACCTGCTTGTGTCCTGCTGTGGGGCAACAACAACACCAACAACTATTAATGTGAAGACAACAATAATAACCGTCCAAGTGGGTTGGTGTTGCTGCGCAATGATAAAAAATACCGGTAGACTGGGGTACGGGTTATTGTTGCTGTCGGGGGGGGGGGGAGGGGGGGGGTGCTGTGCGCTCGGCTGGTGGTGGGTAAAGCTGGGGGGATGGAGGTCCGGCCGCGGAGAAGAACGACCCAATCAGTGTACTTTATCTTCCGTCGCACGGAGCTCAGACATAAAAACGGCACAGAGCGGCTAGTTCTGTAAACGCATGAATCGCAACGTATGGCTAGATGCGAACGGCTCCAGAATAAACAGCCCTTTGCCCCCTCAAGCTGCACTCCCCTCGCTCGACACGTCGCACCAGATACTGCTGTAGGTGGCGCTGATCCCACGAGAACAGAAAGAGAAACACGAACACCACACAGCCACCCCAAAAAAACCCGAGCGCCTTCCACGACTGCCGCCGAAGGCCGACAAGCGAAGCACGAGCAACAAAACATGAGACATAACACGACAGGCGTGGCAGCTCACCTTGCTCAGCTTGAAGAGCTTTCGCTGCTTCGCACTCGGCCCCTTGCCGAAAGCAATCCCAAGATTGCTCTGCGGCGGCAGGTTTCCCTTGCGCGGAGCTGCTCCTCTGCCCTTGCTGCTGCTGCCGTTGCCGCGGGCGGCGGGGGGCGAGGACATCGAAGCCTTTTTCGCCGCAACCTGGTGGGGGGAGGGGCGGTGCGAAGCTTGTGGGTGCGTTATCCCCGCCGCTAGTCCCCGTTGAAAACATGGAACACGGAGGCTGCTGTAAGTGTCGGTCTGTTTTGGTTGCAGGAGCTTGCGTCCCTGAAGCGCCTCAAGGTAAACGGCTGACCCTTATCGATATTGTGCGAGTGGTTGCCTTTGCCGGAGCCTGCATCCTAAGCGCCTCAAAAGGACCGATTGACCCTGTACCGAAAATTGTGCAAGTGATTGCATCCATCCCCCCCAGAACGATATTCTTAAGCTCGAGTGGTCTACAGCAGAGAGGGCACCACGGCGGAAAAACGGCCATCTTGGGGAAACATTCCGTCGAGAGCTTTCCTTACAGGCCTATCGGCCGGTCTTCACATATTCTTTTGGTTGTGGAGCAATCAAGCTATGAAAGTTGGCCTTGGGGGGGGGGGGGCGTGCGATCACTCGGGCAGGTTTGGCACTGCTTCGGTCCTTCCAGTACTAAGAGGTATCATTATCATCAAACTCCCCGCAAAATCGTTTCAAGTTGAGTTCGCGCCCCAAAGGTATTTCACACGAGCGCGGGTCGACTTATACAGCATCATACTCACGAGAGCGTCCGAGAGACGAACACCCCCCCAAAAAACCCTGCGTAGCAATAACGAAAGTATTTTTCTATGCAGCGCTGGACAGGCCGCAAAAAGCACCGGAGAGACGAGGGCCACATACGCATACTTCTACTGTATATCCCAAGCTCTTGCCGGGTACAGCAGTAGTCGAGAAAAAAATCACGTACAACAACCAAGTACAACAGTGCGCGCCTAACCAATATTTTCCACGCGATGCGCGTGTGGCGTACACAGAAACTAGGTGTCCGAAGGCCTAACTTTTGTCGACACTGCAGTGGGGCGGCCACAAAGACAGGATTATCGGTGCGCTCGCAGCAGCAAACGTGCTCACCTTTCGGGCTCCGGTCGAGGCGGCCCGCTCGGAAGCCTGGGCACGCTTCCCGCACGGTGCCGGCTCTCCCCGCGACTGCCCTTTCCTCTCTCTCTGCTCCGGGCCGTCGCCGCCGCCGCCGCCGCCGCCGCCGCCCCGCTGCTGCCCCCCCCTCCTCGCCCTGCTGCTGTTCGTCTTCGCGCTGCCGGGGGGTCTAATGGCCGCCCCCTTCATAGGGCCGACTTTCTTCTTTCCCTCCGGAGGCGTTTCCCCACCGAGCTGCTTCGCGGGCCTGGCATGACGAATAGATCCCGCCTTGCTGGGAGCCGGAGGCCTTGCCTTCGGCGTGCTTGTTCTCGGCCGCTTGGCGGCGGCCTCCTCCTCCGCTGGTGGCGGCGACTGGGCCGTACGCTTTTTCCTGTGGCCGGACTGACTCCTGTTCTTCTGGTGTTCTGCCTGTTTGGTGGGTGCGCGACGACGTTGGCGGCGGCCGAGAAAGTCTCTCAACGGACGAGAGAATGCCTGGCCTTCATCAGAGCCCCCAATGGCCTGCTAGAGCAGTGGCGCTGGTCTGTTGTGGGAAAAGTTGGTCCAGCAGTAGCGCGACTCTTGGGGGGGGGGTTTGCACTGCACTGGAGCAGGTTTAAAATACAAAATACAGGATGTTGTGCCGTACATGCAAAAATGCCGCAGTAGTTCACCCGCAGCACCAGGCTCTACTAGGAAGCGAGGGAAGACGACAGCGGGTAGCATGGCGGTGTAGGTGCTTGACACCCACGACAGGGCTGTGCGACAGGGAGCTTGGAAAACTCCGCTCTTCAGGCTGCTGTCGTCTACCACTACATAACGGGGCTGTGGGTCGCGTTCTCACAACATCGGCACGCCGACAGTACGGTTCTCAACCAAACTGGTCCCAACAGGGCGCTCTCCATCACACGAACACTCACTTTACCAAGACCCTCTCTCTACCTTTCGTTGTGCTGTAGCCCACACAGCTCTTGCATGCTACCCAGCAGCCCAGTGTACACGAAAGCGCCGTTAGGAGTGTGTGTGCTCGACATGTAATTAATTTGCTAAATTGCAGAAAGTAGTGGAGCACACCCTACCTGCTCTCGTCTGGCGATCTCTTTCGCCTGGAGACGTGGCGAGATTGTCATGCTGGACATGTTGGCGATCGTGTGACCAAGGAGACACACACGTGCACGCTTGTACGTTCCTCCAACGCCAACCCCTGCCTCGAGATCTGATAAGGATCGGGGTCCGGTGGAGTATATTTTGCACCCCCTTGCTTTGCATCGGCCCTCCCTTGTGTGTATCCCCCGGACGTCGGGTGCTCTCTACCAATGGTATATGACAATAATTTTTTTTTTTTTATTGTCATATACCATTGCTCTCTACTAATAATCACAGGTGTTCGCGCCTATGGAAAAAATGCCATATTTTTTTTTTATGCAGACATTACGAATCCTGGAATCATATCGGGAAGCAGTCTCTCCGCGCAGTGTTTTTGGTTATTCTGCCACAACTCGCGCTGTAGTGCTGATCCCAATTAGTGCACGTCATCTATGGATTGCCCACATGTAAAGACACACACACACCAATTTTCGTGAGATTTGGTCCACCCTACGTGGGTAACCAAAAGGCATCTAGGTGCGGTGCGTGCTTCCATGGCTTGGATTACCCTATATTTTTGGAGGTAGGCTCATGATCGTTCTGGGGGCCTCTCTGCTGACTACTGGAGTTTAGACTTGAATTTAGGCCGACTTTTGCAGGCCCACTGCCATCGCTGTGGTGCAGATCCCAATTAGTGCACATCATACATTCATTCTATGGTCTTTTATCTCTGCTATGGTGCGGAGTTTTGGCCGAATTGGGACTCTGAAGCGGGTAACCAACTTGGATGAAAGTTGCTTCTCAGAGCTGAAAAGGTTGCGTGCAGCAGCAGGAAGGCAGCTTCAACTCAGATGTGATCGCGAGACATTTCTCCGGCTCAAAGCAAAATCAAAGGGTAAAACCAGCTTTCCGATGGAGGGTATGACTTGCTTGAAGCGCCCGCCTGTTTTTGTGAAACGACAAGGTCTGTGTAAGGAGTACGAGGTGGTGAAAGAACTGGGCTCAGCCATGTCCAATATGGGGAGGGGATGAAACAAAATTAACCCCGCTGAAACCGGCGGCGTGATTTCTTGTCTGTACTTTTTTTTCAATTCCTATAGGCGCGAACACGTGTGTAATAGTGCTTGCTTCCTGAAGTCCTATTGTAAACTTGTCCTATTATAATAATAAATGCTGTGTAATATCGTACCCCACCAGTCCCTTGTTACAAGTTATCACCGGGTGCTCCTTTGGACAGAACGCGCCTGATTCTTGTGTTGTGCAACCCTGTGGTGGCAAACTTCCTCCTGTGAGGATGAAGTTGAATGAAGCCCAAATGCATGTACAAATAAATGCACCATGTCTTCCCAAAAAATCGAAAGCACAAGAAGAGCGACGTGAACCGATTGTATGCGCCCCGTCGCCGCAGTGTCAACTCCTCTCTGGATTGACATCGATCTTGTCGTCCAAAAGGGCGTCCGTCCACAAGACGGAACTGACGGGGAAAATATACTAAAAAATGCCTTGGGTTTCCACTATTATTTACAGTCTACATATAGGTAGATAGTAAAAAAGTCGAATAATAGCCTTCCGAAACCATACTTCAGAAATTAATATATAATTGCACCATTTTTATCCTGCCGCCTTAATACTATCTCCTTCCCTGGCTTGGACCCCGACTTTGTCGTCCAAGGCACCCGTTCACGGCACGGAACGGGAAAAAACAAGACCGGGCAAAATTAAAGACGCTCGTCGTGTGATGATGTGCACCAGGCCCTCCACAGCCACGGCGGTGCTTGAAGCACACGCCCGAAACACTCCGCGATGCCAGCTCTTTCTCTGTAGGGGACTTGCTTGAGCCTTCTAGGCATGTACTGCACAGCACCACCACAACACTGCCCCCCGTATAGTCAACATACCATCAAGCACACAACAATTAAATACTATAATAATGTACCTAAGTGGACCCTTGCAGCAATATTCTGCTGCACACACATTCGCACAAGAAAAAAAAAAGTAAGTCCCGCATGCGCACATGATGCCTCTACACTTCACTTTCAACAGACCACAGCCAACATCGACAACAACCAAGCAGGTAAAATTGATGCGAAAGCAGTGACAAGAACTGCTTGCAAAATAAACAACGCGGTTCAAAAACAACGCATCAACCCCCGAAAAAACACAACCAACCATTGATTCACTCAAAAACCAACCAGGGCATTCCCCTACTACATGGACCTACCCGCGGACCGCGTACAGCAGAATACTTCTTTCTACGGCCGAGCCTGCCCTCGAGGAGGGATCGTCACCTTGACCCAACACAACACTTGGTGGCACCACTAGCACCACCACTAGCACCAGCACCAGCAAGGTTCACCCGTGCAACATTTCCCCCCGAAACGGTAAATCAACATTGTTTTTACAAAGACTGGAAGCTTCCACAAGCCCCCTCTCTCATGTCCCGCAATCGCTGCTGGTACCTTTCCCAATAATTAGGCTTGTACCGCAGCTTATAAGTCTAATAACGGGTGGGCGATGGCCATGAGAGCATGGGCTGGCAACATTTCCCCGCGATTCTCACAAACCCGAAGAGGTTTATGATGGCAAGATCAAGATGCCCTTAAGCGAACACCGCAACATGGCCTCGAGCTAAAGAGTATGCCCGCGAGTTGTAGAAAACACCCATCAACACGAAAACGTTCCGTGAAACACGTCAGTCAGACACCACAAAAAAAAAATAACTAGAAAAATTATAGCACAAAACAGCAGCAGCGACAGCAGCAGAGGGTAGCTGCTTGGCATCTACCTCGCTACGCTGGCTGCATGTTGGACGGCAAGCAAAACGCAGCATGACCGGCCTTCCGCCCGGCCTTTCAATCCTGCTGACCAAACCTGCCGTCAGACACAGTCAGACACAGGAAAACGATTAGATCGTACCCCAAAGAAAAAGCTACATACAAATATCAGCTCCGACCCCTAGATCCCTTCGCCTGCGGTAGAGCCGTGGTCAGACCACCACAACCTCTCGAGATTTTCCTGGCAAAAACTAGCTAAAAAACAGTCGACAACAAAACAATTAAAAACACGGCCGAAGCAACACACCATTATATCCTGGAAACTCGGCAGGCAGGCAGGCAGGCAGGCAGGCAGGCAAAAATAAAATAAAATAAAAAACACGCGCAAAGGGTTTCTCAAACGCTGTGCCGCTGAGACCCCCCCCCCCCCCCCCCCCCGGACTACCGGCTGGCCTCCGCCCCCGCAGATGCCGCCGCCGCCAGCCCCTCAAAAACACGCCTCCTCGCCCGTCACCAGCGGTCCGCCACGGCGGGGCCGGCGGCCTCGTTGAGCGGCTTGAACATGTTCTTCTTCCGGGCGGCGTGGCCGATGAGCACGGCGATCCACCACGCGGCCACGGCGAACACGAACGCCCACTCCTGCTCCAGGCAGGCGCCCCGCCGGTACCCCTGGACCACCACCGCCGCCAGCGCCGCCGAGAAAGCCAGCAGCCGTCGGAACTCCCTGGCGGCCCACGCGGTGAAGCCCATCCCCAGCGCCGACTGCAGCCGGGCCGACCAGACGCTGAAGGGTGACTCCTGGCTCGAGAAGTACACGCCCCACGAGTGCGCCGACCAGTCCTGCGGTTTGGTTTGCACGGGTATTTTTTCGGGGGGAGACAGGGGCGGACGGACGTGCTCTGGCAATTGGGGCCCCGATCCCGAAGAGCCAGCGGAATCACCTCTGGTTGTGGCCGGGCCTGCGGGTTCTTATATAGTTCCTTTTCAGGATTGTGCAACGATTGGCCGCGGAATAGACTACTGCTGTAGATTAGCTAGTGTAGGGGTTCTTATCCGAGCTCACCAAAGTTGCTCACATCCTTAGATACTTCACAGTTTTTCGAGTCTGTATCAATTTCCCCTCCGCCAAGTTGGTAAGTGCGGGCCCTAACTGCTTGTATCGCACGAACTCGGCCACCTCGCCTGAACACGGGGGGAACTTTCGCCACCTTTTTTTGCCACGCCAACGGCGCCGGGACTACTACGTTCATTCTTTTGCCCCCGATGAACCTAGCCTTTTGCAAAGAAGGCGCAGCAATACCCCGCGGCCCGCCCGCCCCCGCCGCAAACGAGGGCGACACGCTCGCTTGCGAAAACACGGGCTTGCATCGAGGAGCAAAGCGTGCCCCTGGCGCGCGCGTTGGTGCGTACGATCTCGAAGCAGCTGCCGCAGTCGGGGCTTAAACTGGGCATCCATGGGAGTGTACTCGCCAAGAGAAAGAATCGCAGCACCTTGCAAGCAGACTGATTGGGACTCGTCCTGCCGCTGAGCTAAACCTCCATAGGGCTCCGGCTGCGTGCGGTCTTCAGTTCTTGTACGCTCAGCGCTACACCACGTCTCCGCATCGTGCAAGAAAAAGACGTACTATTAGATCCACGCTTCGCGGTGCTATAAGGATAAGCCACGTCATACCTCTGCGTGCCCGAAGTACCAGCAGACCAGATTGGCGGCGCCGAGGAGGCCTACCCAAACCGCGGAAACGAGGGTCCACAGCAGGTGCGGTACGATCGCCCAGTACACGTAGCTCAGCGGGCTGTCGTTGTCCGACCGAGAGAGCGAAGGCACGGCGACCTGCACAGGGGGGGACAACAGACAGGATTTTTTGTTTTTCAGTACTTGAGGGTGTAACCCAGAAGGTCGGTCGCCACAACCAAACCGATGGCCCGCACGCACAAAAAACAAAAAATCGGACCCTTCGTGTGACAGCAGTGATCCGTCGAGAAACGGCGAGCGACAGAGCACAACCACGGCCAGAAGAAGACCAACAACCCCCGGTACGATACCCGCTCCGCAGCAGCAGCAGCACCCGCCCCGGCGATGCATCGTAAAAAAAGAAAGGTAAGCACGTTTCCATTTTTTTTGGGTCTCGCGCTCACCCTGAACCAGTCCCAAGGGTTAGCCCACAGCGAATCCTCCGACGGCGGCAGGGAGTGGTCCCCCCTGCTCGCCATGCTGAACGGCCAGAAGGACGCCCCCTCCGAGTAAACGAGGAGCATGGGCCAGACCGGCACCGCGAGAAGGAAGCGGGTCAGCGTCACCGGCCCGGGGAGCAGGAACTCGAACAGCCTGCCGCCGTTCCCCGTCGCCGACTCGTGGCACAGGTGCAGCGTTTTCTCCCCGACCCGCCGCATGTGGCAGCGCACCGAGATCAGCAGCGCCAGCAGGCTCGCCAAGAGGGAGATCAGCGCCGGCCACCCGAACTCGATGCGCAGGAACAGGCAGGCGCCGATGGCCGTCAGGAGCTCGCCCCCGACGAGGACTCCGACGAGCCTGGCGCGGGGCAGAGAGACGGCGGCGGCGGCGGCGGTGGCGGCGGGGTTGGGTGGATTCAGCGAGGGGTTGTTCTGGGGGACGAGGCACACAGCGTGGTGGACTACTGCTGTCCGTGACGATGCGCAGGCAATTATTGTACAGCTGGTACGCTGGTGCCGACTATTTAATTAACTCAGACGGATTTGTGCGGGCATGGCCTGCAGGGGACCGTCAAAGCTGTGAAGCGGGTACGATGGCATGGTCACAAACGGCGATGGGAAATAAACCCAAGACATTTATCAATATTATAAGGAATTCTGTTTCATTGTTAGATTCTCTTGGGAAATTCAGACCGAAGATCCAAGCTGTTTTTTTTATTATTATGGTATTTTACGTTTGCTGATTATTTTTCACCATGTCTCCAGCTTCTCACCCGGCGTAGGTCCACTTCGGCGAACTCGCCCCGCAGCCGTCGCGAAGGAAAAACGCGGTCGCCACCGACGACAGCCGCCGCCGGAGCGAGTCCCGGATGGCCAGCAGCGGCGGGGCCAGCGGCTTCTCGAACTCCTCGGTAGCCGCGAACACGACCACCGGCTTTCCGTCGCTGAAGACGAGGCGCAGGAGGGTCCCCATCGAGCCCGGCGACGTCAGGACCGAGGGGTGAAGCGCTATCTCCGAGACGAGCAACATCTCGGGGAAGAGGTCGACCAGCGTGCCGACCACGGTGAAGGACAGGGCTAGATACCTGCACGCAACGCAGGGGGGGGGTGGGGGTGTGTATTCATAGTCGTGCATGCCGTAGTCGTTAGACCATTGACCTCGCATTTGCGTGAGGCGGGCAAAAACAGCATGTTTGGAAAAGGGGGGGGGGTGGGGGCAGGGCAAGCCACCAGGCACGTGTTCCGCGAAAAGGAAGGCCAGCGCCAAACTCAGGCAATAGCAGGGGGGGGCAGTAGCAAAGACAACAGATGGTGATTGTTCGAGCGTTACGACAACAATGGGCGCGGGTTAAGGAGAACAAAAACATAACACCGCCACATAAAAGCGAGGACGCCAGCCAACAAAAACTAAAGGTGTTTGTGTCGTGTGTCGATGGGCATATGATGCTGGAACGCGAAAAGAAACGGAGGGACGGAAAGGACCGCTGTACCACAACAAATCTATCAAGCCGTTCGACAACCCGCGATTCGTCTCAGCTAGGAAGCAACCTTGTGCATTGCACGGCGGTAGCATGCTCGTCGTGCAAAGACAACATAAACATTCTGCGGACAAGGGTAGACTGAACCCTTCGGCTAAACACAACAGGAGTATGACCCCATTTCGTCGGTTCGCGCGTCTCTTCTTTACTGCACATTGTAAGCAGAAGCAAGGCTTCAGACAAAAAAAAAAACTTCCAGCCAGTAGATACCGTCGGTTGAGTTTCTTGCTGCTGCTTTGTGGGTGTGTCGAAAGTCGAGAGTCCGACAACTCGGTTGCTACATCAACCCGAAGGCGCGTGTCCTCCAACCACGGCTTATTTTCCTGTTTCGTTTTTCTAGGAACGCCACCCTGGTGAAGACAACAGGAAAAATGGCATGCAAGGGAGGAGGGACAGGCTACAATACCAGCCGTAGTTTCCACAAGACTCCCGCACTCCATTTCGCTGCTCGACTTCACGGCCATGCCCCTGCCCCGTTTCTCTCACCAGAGCGCCCTTTCCCCGCAGCCTTCGACATCGTCAGGGGCGATCACCGCTGTCCTCGGCCAGACCGCTATTAACAAGATGACGTCGCTGAGGATGTCGGTGAAGGGGACAAACTCACAGGCTATGTCGATGGCTATCACCCAGGTCGCTTTGTTCATGGTGGCGCGGCGTGGAGGAAGCCTAGCCTCCAAGCCAGTCTACAGGACTCTGTGGATGGGCAGACAAGAGAACGCGCAGCGTGCAACACGTGCGTAGCGCGCAAGCATCGGAGGGAAAACACGGAGGGTCGTCGTCAGGGCGTTCCGAAAGCCGGGGGCTGTCAAAGATGTCATGTGCTTCGGAGCACGAAAACTTGTGGCTCAGGGTCCAATGCCCCCCTCCATGTTTAGTACAGGACGCAAGCACATGTGGGAAAAAAATGATACGGCCTCGGGCAACCGTATCCGCTGGATCTTGAAGTCTTCTGCTGTCACGCCCCGTTTCCTTGCTTAGTCCCACCCCATGTGTTCTGGAAATACATTCATTTCGGTGCGCCGTCTGGGTTAAGGACAAACCGAAGTCAATCTTGAGTCGAGATTGTAGGCCCACATCTGTTGTGGTGTTTCGACTGCTCGGGCGAACTGGCAAAATGCCTGAATCGGAGTGACGTCGATATTTGTCTGTGTGTAGCACACGTCGTCAACAGAGATTGCGCGACACCACACGGCAGAGGGCCAACAGGTCCGTGAACATGTGGCGGACAAGGAATCCTTTTCGATAGTGAACCTGAAAATTTTGAATGCATGCCGAGAGGCGGTGTTGTGACGGTCTTCTCGTTAAGGCTTGGAGTGGACGCGCTTGGCCTATGCACATGGCCCGAAGCCATTTCGTTTCGGGGGCCGGAAATCCAAGCAAAGGTCTCGTTCGCCGCGTGGGCGTGCAAAATCCAGACGAATATATCTGCTCTTCGTGAACCTTTTCCCCCCGTTTCGGGCAACGAGTCTTCCCGGGTTCGTTCCTTATTGCCAATCCACACCTCGCACCGCCGCAGCAAGCAATCGGGCGATTTGGCATCATTCGAATCGACTACAGGTCTAGGGATCAAGTATCGTACGCATATATGTGGCATCGGGAATGCAGCTCATACGCGTACATCGGCAGGCTCAACGAATTATTGCCGACTACGGTCGCTAACTGGACCGTCGATTCTCAATTCTCCTCGATGACAATAAAGCCACAGCAGCAGCATTCAACGGCGGAGTGCGACTACTGCGAAGGGGTTGAGAGAAAATTCCCAACGGTCCTGCGACTTCAAGCTGTGACATTTTTTTACGCCGCCCGCAACGCTTTTGCACACATGAGCCGGAAACGAAAAAACAAAAAAACATAATCCTCCGTGAAAATTAGTTGGGCCAAACGACGTGTTCGACGAAAACATTTCCGCAAGTCCAACGTATGCATATGTATGACGGGGCTAAAGATAGGTGTACTTGCATTGCAAAACGAGTGCGGGCATGCGCTTGTGGTTGTGAGTGCGCCTCTTCAAGTAGAATCGGCCGGGTGAAGCGACGGAAGGAGCAGTCTTGTATCTACTGCTGTAGTGGCGCGGCGAGTGTCCGATGACAAGAGATACTGCTGTACATCACATAACGTCGAGCGCGGTGTAACGGGCACTCGTCGTGCGCCTTTAGCGCTGGCAAAATGAAAACAAAAACTGCGATTACCCCAGCACAGCAGTGTGTACTTGGAACGACGATTTCCTAGAAGACGATTGCTGTAGGGCAATGGAACAGACGTCGTGGATCGTGCTGCACGCACACCGTCTGTATACACATCCAAACTTAGCTCGAGCTCTGGCTCGTGAGAGATTACAGACGTTGGACTCTTGGACTGCTGTACAGAGAAATTTCGGAATTTTCTCCGCTGTTGTCTCCCCATCTCTCTTTCTCTCGTAGATGATTGGTTTTGTGAGGATTGGTGCGACTGCAAAAGTTCGGTTGGTTTCTTTCACCTCTTGTGTTGTGCGTGTCTTGGCCCCTTTGCGCGCCACCGCCTTGCCTGCTGTGCTCTTTCGTCGGCAGCCAAGCCGGGTTTCTTGCGGGGGGTGCGCGCTTGGCAGGGTGGTACTTCAAACATGGGGTGGTGGTTCGAGCTACCGGAACTCCTCGATATCCCCCCGCGCGGTCTTGTGCCGGATCGGGAAAGAGGAACAACCAAAATGCGGTGGGATTTGCCACCTTTGGAGCTCTTTTCATCGCTTTACCTCTCCATCAGTCCATCACTCATGCGAGTTATGGTCTACACGCGCAGATATATGATACTCTCTGGTTTCGTCGTGGACCTGGCAAATGCCGCCGTGCTATGAAAAGGGAAAGAGCTGCTGATCAAACCCATGTCGCAGATCTCAGCACCAACGTTCAGAAACTATATTTTGGTACACCGTCCTACCGTGGTAAATGGACATGGCGAAATGGCTCCAGATTTCGCCAAGTGTGGACTACGTAGGTGTAGGAAGCATTTCCGGATTGGCGCAATGTTGGACAAGGGCCTTTCCAGTAAAGCACTTGAGTGTCGCCTACCTCGAGAAACCACCGCAATACCGCTCGTACTATGTTGCACGGGGTGATGAGCCGCTGGGGTAGCCGACTTACTACTTTTGCAGAGGTTTCTCTCTGCGTGCTGATGTGCGAATGCCTATACATGGCAGCGTGAATCGTTTGGAGTTACCGAGTTCTACCGGCTGCGCAACGAGGGCGTCAACACCGCCAAGGCCATGTGGAAGACCTCCTCGGCCGCCAACAATGTAGCTACGTGCACCAGGGACGATGCTTGTACTACATGTGGCCGCCGTTCAAATTTCGCCGCTATGTGCATACATATGCGGTGTTTTTTTTTCCGTTGATGCCACACACCACACCCACGAAGGACCAAAATACGAAGTATAAACCATTTCGGCCTTGCGGACGCAAACGTGCACATCGGGAAGAGGCACGCGTGCGGTATACCCCTGGCGGCGAGCCACCGAAGAGCACCAGCAGCAGCATAGACATAGGATCGCTACAGACAGATGCGTGACAGACAGATGCGACAGGTACAAGATACACTACACGCCACATTCAGTCGTCTGAAGCCTGCCAAATTTGCCGTGAAGTGAAAGAAGCAGTTTACATTGCTATGTAACACATGCACAAAAACACGCCGTTGATCGACATAAATTGGACGCGAGAGACCCAGCAGCAGCAGGCAGCAGGGCAGACGGTTCGCGCCAGTAAGCAACATGAACCGATCTCGGGCACAGCAGTAGATCCTCACGCCCTCGAAGGTTTCTCTCGATGGTGGATGCGCTCTCGACTTGGGAGAGTGGGAATATGCTGTGCTTGTGATATATCATCACTCTTTGTGTCTTCTCCTGGTTCGAAGCGGGCGCGTATGATCTCCGCTTTCCTCGAGAACACCCGGGGTTGGGGTGAGGTATCTCCAACGTTTTTTGACAAACCATCGCCTGTTTGGCACGACCATCGCACGACCGATCCCGTGCGTTGAGAAGTACCCTGCTTTTCTTCCTATTCAGGGGCCAACAGATCGCCATTCGGTGTTCCATAGATCTTGGTTCGGTCGAAAAGGCGGGTTGTTTAAGGGCTATTGTTATCGACCAATAAAACACGAAAAAAAAACGGAACCGTGTTTTCTTGAATATATATGGAGGCGTTTTTCCCCGAAAACGTGAAAAGAAGGAGCCGGGTTTTTTGGGGCTTGCTGCTTTCACGAATCTGTGTTTTCGACAGAAGCATCGGACAAGCGCACCGCGGGCGCTGTAACATCACTGAGAACGCTAGAAAGACCTACCAGACTCACGTTCAGGTCTGTTGTGGAGATGGACAAGCGGCAGAAGCGGCGTTCAGTCCGTTCTTGGCCCAAAACTAGGCATTGCGTGGTGCTCTCGTCTTCAACTGCTGCTGTTGGTGCTGGGGGATTTTTTTCAATCACACATAGCAAACACGGAAACAGTAGAACGAGTACAGCAGCAGCACCAAGACCCCCGACGCGCTGATTCCTTCGGTTCGGCTGTCTATATGATACCATCTCCCGGCGCCGTGCTGCTTCGTGGGTATTGGGTGCTTGGGTGCTGCTCAATAAGGTGTGTGAGAGACGTGTGCCACCTCACCAAAATGCCGTTGGAAAAAATGCGGCGAGATGATCTGTTTTTGGTCGGACGCATCAACATCAATCCACGGCACCACGCAGCAGTAGAGCAACAGGGCCTCCGATACGCTAATTCTTTCGGATTGGCCATCTATATGATGCTGGACGTCAGCGCGGCTGCCGCCCTATGATTGTTGAGCTCGTCTACCTTTGGGCAGGTGGTGGTCAAAGATGGGAGTCGCAACCGTGAAAAATGAGCTGGCAAACTGAAGAAATCGCAAGCAACACCCAGGTAGCGACACTCTGCCCTGCGCCTGTTGTAGCTAAGAACTGAAAACAGCAGGCCAGGTGGACGGGATCTTTCTAAGTGTGTTGTCCTCTGGGTCGAGTGCTGCTCATGGCGCTTTCACCGCTGCTCTATGGTGAGCAATCCCATGTCAACCTGTTGTGTGTCGAGCAAAACGTGTATTCAGGGAAGGAAACGTACTTTTCGCGATGACATCACGAATAGAACAACAAGCGAAAAATAATCGGATCTTCTTTTCACCGTTCCGTGAAAAAAAACGTTTTTTTTTGTTGCGTTAACAATACCCCTAAGGCCCCCGGAATCATGCTGGGGCCCCTGCCTCGTATTGGAACAGGCCAATATTTGCATCCTAGTTTTCCTCCTAAGATGAAGGGAGAAAAGGTCGCGCTTCGGGCTCCGCGGCGCAACATTACTGCTGGTGAAGCAGGAAGGGAACCGTCAATGTTTGCTTGAGTTTCGTGAGCGACTGAATGCAGCGGACGAATGCAGAACTTTCGAAAGCTGAGGGATGTCCTCCAAAGTCTTGACAATCTGTGCGCCTCTTCGCTACACAAAGCCTTCGCCCCCAATGTGTCGACCACAACACCCATTCACTGCCCGCCCGCAAGGGTCATGGTGCACTGATTAAGTGATGTGCATAGATTTCATCACGGTGGACGCATACGACCGCCAGACGAGCCATCAACAGTCGAAAGAAACCTAACCATTCTGCTGTCCCTGTGTGGCAGA